AACTTCACTGTTGTCATTATTTTAAATTTCTTATTTAATTTTTTTGTTTATATGTAATTACTCAAAATTATTAAATTCAAAAATTTTATGTTTTAAGACTATTACTGTGTTACAACTTTATGTACTTATTATTCATGTATATTTTTCAAAATTTATTAATAAATGCCTCTGACCGCCGGCCCTCTCCAACGACAGGGATGTAGCGGATAATAGACGGTTCCATCAGTTAAGCAATAAAACTTAAAAGTAGCAACGGCGGTACATCTGCTTAACTGATAGTTTCCACTGTTTCTAAATTATCATAAATAGTGATAATATAATTTTCTTACATTAAATATGATCTATTAAAATGATGGCTCTTCAAGGTTTCAAAGCTAAAAAAGTAATATCTAGCTTACTTTTTAATATCTAATTTACTTTTCACTTACCAGCATGGCCCCTCTTCTAGTTGTTCACACGAGGCGTTTCAACAGCAACCTCATCATTGTCTCAGTCATGAGGATTTCTAAAACAATATAAACATGAAATTTTATTATATAAAAATCTAACCAAAAACATGGTTTAGGAATAAATGATTTCAACAGATATGAAATAAATGACATTTTATCATTTAATTTTCATACTATAGCATCGTTTTATTGTAATATTTTAAACAAACTCTCTCACAGCATGACAATTTAATTATTGAGAAATATTAAATGTTATAATAAAGAAATGGAATCACAACACATTTTCTCCTTTCTAACACAAAATAGTTTTAAGTTATTACACTGCAGCAGTGGAAAATAAAGTTGCTAAAACATTTTTCTATGAATTACAAATATTTAAGCTTTATTGTAAGGATTTTAAGTTTTACTAACGTTTATTTTATTTTAAAACTTTACTAACCTCTCTTATTTTCCATTTCCCGTCTGAATAAACGCGAATAGATTTAGTTATGCAAATTGAGCTTACAAACTGTTAAGTATTTGTGTCTTTTAGCCAAGAAAGAGAGAGAGACTTCTCGCTATCTTACCTCACGCCCGCTTTTCATCCAGTTGTCTGCCTTTAAGGCCAGAAATTCGTTCTCTTTGATACTTGAATACGTATTGTTACGAAATGTACAGGCGCGGTGGGATGGCTACCCCGCAAAGCAGTTTTAGGGTTGTCATAAAATGACAAGGGAATGAAGGGTTGCCACATTTGGCAATAAATCGCCCCTTTGGCGACATTTCGCGACAAAATTGGCGATATACAATGGACGGATGGAGAACCTTCTGGAACGAATTCTTACCGGTTTAGCCCAGAATGTTCTCGAACACAAGCCGAAAACTATATAAACCCTACTGATCCGCAGTCAGTCAGTGTGTGTGCCTCGTCTAGCGAGCTGCTAGTCAGTCATTGAGCGAGTGTGTCGAAGTCTAGCGCCGAGTTGGTCATCGAGTGCATCGAGAGAGTCTTTTAGTACATCTCGCGAATTAGTGCATCGAGAGAGTCTTTTAGTGCATCGCGAATTAGTGTATCGTCGAGTTTTGTCTTAGACTGAATCGAGAGCTATACTCTTGTACATCGCGTAAAGAGTCTCGAGAGTACGTGGAGTTCCAAGAACGACCAAACAGAGTTGGGAGCTGTACTCGGGTGCTTTGCAGTGAAGCTGTCTCCACCGTTATTGCCTGACAGTGTGAAGGCTGTGTCGCTGAACGTGTCAGCGTGTTTATAACAATTCGAAGACTGTAAAAGTGATTTTGGAGCTATCTGATTAATATTGGTAAATAAAGTGTGTTTCGATACTTCATCAAGTGTCGTCGTTATTCACTCCAAATCTACGAACCCCGTACGAACGTGAAGGAAGAAAATAACGTAACAACTGGTGTCAGAAGTGGGATAAAAACGCAACAAATTGTGTCAGGAGTGGAGTTTGTGAATGAATGCCAGTGACCCGCCTGCTGATGAAAGCCATGGCAAATGAAACGAAGACTTTGATGGATTTCTTAGCCGAGATGAAAGCCGGGTATGAAGAGATGAAAGCTGGGCTGGTTGCGATAAAAGCCGAATATGATACGCTGAAAGCTGGACGGGAAGAACGAAAAGCTGGATATAAAAAGATGACAGCTGAGATCAAAGCCGGACTGGAAGAGAAAAAAGCCCGACGAGAAGAAATAAATGTCGGCCAAGAAAAGAGTGCGAGAGCAACTCCAACAAGTGAAAGTGGAGCTTACAGAAGAAGCTGGAGCCATAAAAGACGATGTGGATATGAGAGAAGTGGCTTCTGAAGAATTAAAGGATGAAGAAATGAAGAAAGTAGCTAATGAACTGTCTGAGGAAGATCAAGAAATGAAAGATGAAAGAACTAACGGGATTAAAGATAAAGAACGAAAACATGAAGAAATAAAAGACGGGAAAGTAGATTTTGAATTCTCAAGTGCCTGAAGTGGGAAGAAAGTGAAAATGCGATTGTTAAGTTCGTCGGTCGCAGTTCGCGAGTATTGAACCATCTGAAAATGCATGTGATGCAGAGATGACAGAAGTTGATATGCAGCTTGAGCAGTGTGCTCCAGTATTGCAAGAAAATTCACCCACTTTGCAAACTATGTGTGCGTCTCATAGTGTAGATTTTGCAGACAATGACTTGATTTTTATTTTAGACCAGGATACTTGCGTTTGTAAAGTATCGTGTTGCGTTCATGACTGTGATGCAGAATTTGGAGCTGGTTCTAAGGAAACGGAGTAAAATGTACATGTACCAGCTGCTGAAAATGCCGAGGTGAACTGTACACACGATGCGAACAAACATCAGAGTGGTGAACAAATTGTTTCCGATCTTTCTGTGGATGAAAAGTCTCAAAGGGCTGAATATTCATACTCTGATATGCAAAATAGAAATGCATCTGAGAACTGCAGTGGAAAAGTATTTGACCCCGGTATATTTTAATAAAAAGACTGAGACTGAAATTCATTATGAACTTTAATTTGTTTCTTTTAAATTTGTGATGTGCTTAATTTGTGTATATAACTTGTACTTATTGTAAATATTTGTTTCTTTAGTTATGTTATCTGTATATTTTAAAGCGATTTGATTGTATCGAATTTGGCTTCTGACCAAGAGTTCTACTGCCCGGGACGTGCAGTCCTTGGGAGAGGGCAGTGTTACAAAATATACAGGCGCGATGGGATGGCTTCCCCGCAAAGCAGTTTTAGATTTGCCATAAAATGGCAAGGGAATGCAGGGTTGCCACATTTGGCAATAAATCGCCCATTTGGCGACATTTTGCGACAAAATTGGCGATATACCATGGACGGATGGAGAACCTTCTGGAACGAATTCTTACTGGTTTAGCTCAGAATGTTCTCGAACACAAGCCGAAAGCTATATAAACCCTGCTGTTCCGCAGTCAGTCAGTGTGTATGCCTCGTCTAGCGAGCTGATAGTCAGTCATTGAGCGAGTGTCTCGAAGTTTAGCGTCCAGTTGGTCGTCGAGTGCATCGAGAGAGTCTTTTAATGCATCGTCGAGTTTTGTCCTAGACTGTGCTGAGTCGACAGCTATACTCTTGTGCATCGCGTGGAGAATCTCGAGAGTACGTGGAGTTCCGAGAACGACCAAGCAGAATAGGGAGCTGTACTCGGGTGCTTTACAATGAAGCTGTCTCCACCGTCATTGCCTGACAGTGTGAAGGCTGTGTCGCTGAACGTGTCAGCGTGTTTATAACAGTTCGACGACTGAAAAAGTGATTTTGGAGCTATCTGATTAATATTGGTAAATAAAGTATGTTTCGATACTTCATCACGTGTCGTCGTTATTCACTCCAAATCTAGGAGCCCCGTACGAACTTGAAGGAAGAAAATAACGTTACAGTATTGTAGTTCCCACATTATGCTCACTACATACGTAAAGTTTAAAAGGCCAATTTTCGCGTTATTAGTCTTTGTAAAGCATTTGAGTTTAGTTCTTATTTAATTTAGTAAGTTTGTAGTTCTTATTTTTACATTTCCGTTGACCATAAGTACTGGTCTTTGTATTCCGAAGGGCGGGAACAGATGTAAACTGTGAAGAATAAAGGGTAATTGAACCCTTCCCATTTGTGTCGTATCTTCTACACTTGCACGAACATAGTTTAAAGTAAGCTCCCTATCCTTGCTCAGGACTTATGTATGTTTTCAAAAGCAATTACAAGAAATAGTAGTGTTCATATCATATACAGTACAAAATCCGAAATCCGGACATACAGTATCCGGAATGGCATAAAATCCGGACCTCGCTATCACCAGCAAACTTTTTTTTTCTTTTTACAATTTTTTTATGTTTTACGACTGCGCATACAAACCAGCACGGTAACTTTTATGCTGATATTATGCTAGGCGATGATTACAGACTTCAGCTAACTTTGCTACAAAGCCTTCAATGCACTGACGAGGAGAAATTCAACAGAAATTTCTTTCCATAATACAAAAAATAGATTTTTTGGTTGCTATTCATGCAACAAGTGATTATATTTTGTGGTGCTTGAGCTGAGAATAACTAATTTGTTATTCAGATATGCCCAAGCTTTGTGCCAGAGCTTGTGTGGCTGCAATGGGTGGCAGAATTTAGGTAAAGTAAAATATTTAGAATTTAAGGAAGGCACTGAGATGTAAAATTTAGAGGCAGCAAAAATTTACGAATTTAGGGAGGGGCTCAGCAGCAGAATTTTGGACCCACAGGAGACTGCACAAGGTTTCAAAATGTCTAGTACTGGCCCTGCATAAGCCTTGTGTATATGTGCAAACCCGAGACTTGGATAAACATGAGCGGGAAATATGTGCAAGTAATAATAAATGACTAATAGAATTCATGCTTAACGTTGTTAGCGTGCGCTAGAAACGAAACAAAATTTAGTGGAACAACATATGTTTCTCTTCCATCTTCTCTGTCTTACTTAGGCCCATAAATATTTTTAATATAGTCTAAGCTTTACTTTATCTTTTTTAACATATATTTAAAAAATTTCATATCACAGGATTTCTTTTTTCGCCCTGTAGGCAGAAAGACTTAGCGGTTGCAAGATGAAATATCTGTCTACTTACCTTCTCTGTTTAAAAATTGTAAACAAAAGTTGCTGTCCAGTCTGAAAATCTGAGATGTGAACGTTGATTGCAATGGAAGAAAAAGGTTCAGTTTTATTATTTTCCTTCGACTTTAATGTACAATACTAAAAACTGAGGTTCAGTCTTTATTTTTCGGTTCTGAATATAAATTTCAATGAAATCTGGTAGTTTACGCATGATCACCGAATTTGAAAATAGTGAGTCGTTTATCAGAATGCTAGTAATGCTGTTATGTTTTGAGCACAATAAATTGCCTCTAAACGACAAAAACTGTGCAGTGTGTCTAGTTGTTTCTACAATTAATTGATTATGGAAGAAAAACTTTTAATTCTCTTGACTAACTTTCTAATATATGTTTAATATTACTTCCCTATCCCTCTTCTTGCACATTGCAAATCGTTACTTTAGCCATGTAACAAAGCAAGCAATTGCAAACAACACGGCACACAAGGGAAAGTGCAGAATCACCCACTGCTTGGCGCGTTTTTAAGAATTGCACAAACTAGGTAATCAATTACCCCTTGGCGATTTTTGGCGGTACATGGATACCGATTTTGTGCAGTTCTTTAACTTGTTATTTTGGCTTGCGAAGCGGCGCAAAAATCGCCGCTACACAAAGTCAAAATAACAAGACAAACAATTGCACAAACTCGGTATCCATGTACACATCGATTTATTTTCACTTAAAAAAAATACCCGAATTGCACAAAAATGTCATTGCGCACTTCTTTGACTTTATCCATGTACACGTCGACCTATTTTCGCTTAAAAAAAAATCCCTGAATTGCACAAACTTGCATTGCGCACTCCCTTTACTTTGTCCATGTACACATTGATATATTTTCACTTAAAAAGTCAAAGGAGCACCAAATTCTACAATATAGGCAAACAAAAAATACATAATCTAAATAAAATACATTTTAAACCAAACAATAAAATAATGTAAAAAAGGAAAAACATGTTATATATTTAAGCACTACCAAAAGTAAATATTCACTTACCATGATTTTCGAGTTCGCTTCGTACACCCAGAGTAACGTAAAAATCAAAATATCAATCATACTCAAATGACTTTTTTCAAACCACGTACTCTTTCTGATCAAACGCTTCACATAGTGACCATCTGAAACTTTCTTCCTACAAACCCATTCAAATCCATATAAACGGTTTTTACGTTCGACTAGATGCATATCCTTTCTGCATACAGGACACTTACAATGGCTGCTAAGTAAACCTTCATTTACACACCAGTCAATTAAAGCTCTTTTCCCCTTTCGCTCCAAATCGTACAGAAACTTCAAATTAAGCTTACTACATTCGGCCGTTCTACCGTCTAAAGAATCAAACCAACACACACCACAAAACGCTTACAAAACATCCCATGATTCAAAATTTTCCCAGAATTATGCACCCGATTATGTCACAATAGGGTTTCCATAACATTCAACTACTCAGGCTATCATAAATGAAACAACAACTTCGCCATAATACAAGGGGTACCTTAAAGTCTACTCTACCCTCAAGTACATATCTACCTATTTTCACTTTTAAAAAACATCAGAGAAATCCATAAATTCAGCATTGTTTACTCCCTTGACTTTCTCCATGCACACATCGATGTATTTTCACTTAAAAATTCAAAGGAAGTTAACAAAAATCAAATTCTTCTTACTCTTGTAAAAAGTGCCAAATAAGTGAGCGATTCTGCACTTTACCCCAGCACACAGACGGCACAGTATTAGTAGTTGATTATTTTATTGCTCTTCCGAGAGAGAGAGGAAGTATGGTTGGGTTACAATTGCAAAATCATATACGATTTAGTTTCACCAAATACACTATAAACAGGATCTTCTCCTATTGGTCATTAAATGATTGCCATGTAAAATGTTTCATTTTTAAATAAGAATTTAGGGGTGAAATGTTATTTCCCTAAATACCTTTTTCTGAACAATCTTTTTATCTCAACAGTATTGCATACTTGATTGTTTAATTTCTAAATTACTACTACTAGAAATGAGATAACTATATTCTTTGGCTGATGCACAACTACTGTCTCAAATCCCAACCAGATCTTTTTTATGTATGCCGCTGGGTAAAGTCCAGTAAAAAGAACGGGTGTGGAACAAAGTTCTTGAATACTGAGCTGAAGCACTTGTCACCATTTTTGTTCTCTTAACTTTAACGAATTTATCTCTGGTTTGACAACTGGAGAGTAAAATGCTACTATCCAATTACTTACTCTAATATCATTCACTTTTATCAAACATTTCTTTTCATCTAATAATTTAACGGATATGAAATTTTGTTTTACTTAGCTTTGTATCTTCGAAAAATTAGTTTATGGTTCATATAAAAAATGTAAGATTAAATCTAGCGACATCTTTTAATAAAGCCTTTGCTGGTATCATTGATTATAATGCTAATATGTTATAAAATGCAATTTTAATTCTCAGATGATTTTGAAGAATAAACTTTTGGTGTAATTTTATTAATAAATACGTGTTAAATATGAATTCATTTCACATTGTGTAATTGGAATGTTCTTTGTGAACTGTGTGATTGATATAATTATTTAATTGTATTTCTTAAATTTCACCAAACATGGATGAATATTTCCATTTTCAGACATTCTCTCTAAACTTGTCCAATTTGTTCTTCATGTTTACAATGCAATTACATTTCATGTTACGTATGGTTAGTTCACAAATCAAACTATTGCATAACTTAAGATTACATAATGAATATAAAGTAAAGGTTTCAATTTCCATGATTGTGGAATAAATAATGCTACGCTATGTCAACATATCACAAAAAGTATTTTAATTTGTTTGCATATAAAATACCTACATTTGTTTTTGGCCTCTTGTAATTGTTATTTACATAGATCTTGTGTTAAATATTGAAACTGGGTCTGCCTTGGCGATAAATGTTTGTAACCAAATCAAAAAATCGGCAAAAGGACTAATACTAAATACAGTCTCTGAAATATTAAAAATTTCAGATACTTTTTGCAAATTAAGTTGTGAACTAGATCCTTTTGTTGATTTGTTGCATCAACAGTACATCTCATTTCTGAGATTACCTTAGAAATACTGATATCATCAGACTTCTGTAAAAAATATGCCTACTGATACTTCGTATTCATATGTATTTAGTAACTGATTGTCAGTACTGATTGTACCTTAATTAACTCATTGCCATTTTAAATACACAAAAATTAAAAGTGCATGGCTTTTATTGATTATTTTGTATATATATACTTGTGTGTATATGCATTTATACATATACTTGTGTGCAGAAGCGTGGCTAGGGTTTTCAGCGCCCGGAGACAACTGAAGATTTTGCATCCCTTTCTGTGTGCCAAGAATGGAAAACATTTCATTCTAAAATTTCAGGTACAACTCTGATATACGCCCTAATTTCACCAAATGTGGCGATATGTGTTCTGCGCTGGGTTTTGGCACGATTGCGTGTTCTATGGCAACCCTGTTGACGTTGAACAATCTTTCGCTGGAGCTCGTTGATTCGCGTCTGTGTCTGAGAAGATGGGAGGGAAAGATAAAATGGTAGAAGTTGTTGAATTGAAGTTCGGCAAAAGGAAATATCATTGTGGCCATCCTGTTGAGGGGTAGTGGGTATTTGGAGGTGTGGAAAGAGGGTCTGGGAGATTATTTTTAATGGCTGTGCATGATAGAAGTAGGGATTTGTGATTTTATTTATTTGTGAACCATAGTATGAATTTTTTGGAGTGTGTCTGGCTGTCATGTAAATACGATAGTGATTACGTGGCGGCATGTTAAAGGTGGTATGAAATTGGTATTTCTGCTGCTCGAAAAATCATTAATTCATGGTAAGTGCATTTTATTTTATTCTTGTTCTTATTTTGTAGAATGTTATGTTCATTGGTTATTTAGTATGAATTTCTGTCGTTATTGTTGTTTTTGAAACAGAACGCTGTGTACATGGTATTATTTGAAATTTAATGTTATTATGTTATTTTATTAAAGCGAGGTGTGCGTAGATCGTAGATTCGTTCCTTGCCTAAATTGTGCAATTCGTAGATGTTTTTTTAAGTTTAAACAGGATGCTGTGTACATGGTATTCTTTGAAATTTATTGTTATGTTAATTTATTAAAGCGAGGTGTGCATAGTTCGTAGATTCGTTCCTTGCCTAAATTGTGCAATTCATAGATGTTTTTTTAAGTTTAAACAGGATGCTGTGTACATGGTATTCTTTGAAATTTATTGTTGTTATGTTAATTTATTAAAGCGAGGTGTGCGTAGTTCGTAGATTTGTTCGTTGCCTAAATTGTGCAATTCGTAGATTTTCTTTAAGTTAAAACATGTCGCTGTGTACATGGATTCTTGTCAAATATTTTTGGTTAGAAACTTTACGTTTTTGCTATCTAAATTTTTTGTTTTTGTTTCGGATTTTTAGCTTAAATCGTGTGTTCAAAACGTAGTTTTTGCATGTGCCAAAACCGCGTTTTTGGAGACATTTTAGGCTTAAAGTTCGAAATATAGACAAAAAATTTAGATTGTAATATGGCAGCGTGAAGTTTCTCGCTAAAAATGTTTGGCGAGAAATTTGGCGACTTGAGGGCACATATCAAAGTAGTTCCAAATTTCATAACATCAATTTGGTGCCCCCTGAATACTGCGCCTGGGGACAGGTGTCCCCTCTTGCCCCACCCTAGCTACGCCACTGCTTGTGTGATTATTTTAAAGAACTACTTTTTACACATACATACCCACACACACTCTTGCACATATACACTGGTATGCAAAAGTTAAGGACGAGACGGTTTTTTTCAATATAACTTTGTACAAAAGCTTTTCAAATCAACACATTTAATACCGTAAGATCCCCAATACGTAAGGACATGAGTAATGTAAGCAACACTTACTAAAAGAGAAATCAGAGGGATAAAAAGAAGCTTTATTGAAAAAGTAGCATGGAGCGCAATGCGACTGAAGGCCGAAACATCCCTGTGATTGCTGTCCAGCAAGAAACATCCGGTCTTTAATAGAGGATATGATCTCCCCTGACTACTAGGCAGGTTTCATAGCGTCTGCCCATGCTGAGAATGATTGTGTCAGTGAGTTGTTGAGGCATTGCTGCCCATTCGTCTTGCAGCGCCAATCGAAGCTCCGGAATCGTTACTGGTGGTAAGGTACGAGCTGCCAAGCGTGTGCCTAGAAAATCCCATACATGCTCGATGGGATTGAGATCCGGAGATCGTGCCGGCCAATCCATACGTTCAATATCCTCACTCTCTAAGAGCTGTTCGGCAGCTACTGTGCGATGACATGGTGCATTGTCGTCCATGAAAAGAAACTGCGGACCCATAACGCCTCTAAAAAGACGCACATATGGAAGAAGAATCTCGTTACAATAACGGGTCCCGTTGACTGAACCTGCGTCGAAGATGTGAAGGTCTGTACAACTACCAAGCATGATGCCTTCCCAAACGAGAACACCGCCACCTCCATACCTGTCCCTTTCAATGATGTTCGAGGGATGATTGCGGCTTCCCCGCTCTCTCCAGATGAGTATGCGATGAGAATCGCTACTCAGACTGAATCTGCTCTCATCTGTAGAGTACTCATCCCCATTCATTGTCTCTCCAATTCCGGTGTTCCCGGCACCACAGAGAACGCCTTCTCCGATGGGCAGGCATTAGAGGTACACACCGTACAGGGCGTCGTGCAAACAGACCACCACCATGCAGTCTTCTGGCCACGGTAAAACGCGATATCGGTCGTCCAGTCGCCTGTGTCTTGTGTCTAGCGATTTCTCCCGCTGTCTGCCGCCTGTGTCTTCTGGCATGTAAGGCAATATACCGGTCATCTGCGGGTGTGGTTCCTCATGGACGACTACTACTAAACCCCCAGATAGCTGTTCCTGTAGTTTGAAATTGTCTCCAAAGTCGTGAAACGATGCTGTGAGCAATTCCGAACTCTGCAGCCACACTTGTCATACTGCGGCCTTCCTCCAACTTCCCAATGATTCGACTTCGGGTAAAAGCATCCAGATGTCGTCTAACAGATTGATTATTCGCCATTTCTCGCTGAGGCAGCAACTTGGTGTGATTTAACTGCTATACGGTGTGCAATCTCTTTGCCAGAAATACTGATCTTACACCGACAACATGCTTTATACTACTCAGAGACTCCCCCATTACATCTACCTGCATATCTGCGCATGTGCTACCGTACATCACCTTACTTAATCTCCTGATTGGTCTTTCTGTCCGCTCTGCCTCTTCGTTCAGCTGATATGCTAATTTTTCAACTTCGTCCTTAATTTTTGCACACCAGTGTATATATATTGAGGTAGAATCATAAAATTATTTTCATTTTCTCCTATACTTAGCATGCTTATATATGTATATGAAAAATTAAAATTGTATATTGAAGTAAATGAAGAAAGTGTTGTGTTCTGTAAGTTTTAATATAAAAATAAACTTTAATGTAGATCAAAATGGCATAAAAGAATGTAGCTATAATAGTTCATAATATATGAGTTTTTTGTAACACTGGAGCATAAATGTAGATTCACAGTAAAATAAGCATCCTAAAATGAAGCAAATGAGGGAATTTGATGAAGTGAATATAGCAAAAAGGAAAAAATTAGTGAAAAGTGAAGGAAAAAGTCCATTGTGCAACGTCTCTTCAGGAGAGAGGCATCACATGGCATACACTCGATACTGTGATTAATAATGTTTGATTATACAATAATTTATTTCTTCTGTCCATGATGCAAGAGCGTATAATCAGTGCATTTTTTACTAGTTTTATCCTTTACCGCCCTTTTTTTTACTTTGCCAGATTCTCTCATTTGTGTCATATTATGATGGTGGTTCTAAAAAAAGTGTTAAAAAAAAGTTGTGAAACAATCAAAAAGTTGAGAACAACCTAGTTGCCACTAGGGCAAATGAGATATGCATCTCAGGCCTCTACTTTCTTTTCTACAATTCGTCTTCTGTAAAAATTTGGAGTATTTGTTTTAATTCTGCATTTTAAGTATATAAAATTAAAGGCAGATGTAAACTGGTAAACTTTGTATTTTAGTTATTTTATACTTTTTTAAAAAAATCAAACGTTGAGCATTTATCTCGTATGTTTATTGGCTAACAATATTATTTAGTAAAACTTGAATTTAAAAAACAATAAAAGTACTTTTCTGTTAAAGGGGCACCAGTAGTTACCAATTGTGTGCTGAAGCACCAGATATGGTAGCTTCTTTATATTGCATCATGCATAGCTGTGCATGAATATGCATTTCTCATATTCACATGATATGTTCTCATTTAAAAAAAATTGCTTTGCACAAATTCGGCTTTGTACAGTTTCAACAGTACACACATTAAACATTACATATATTACATTATATGATGCATTGCTGTAATTACAGGTTCATTTTTTTTCCCCCATGAAGCTTTACGTATTTTTAGGATTCCCTTCATCCAGTTAGATTTTGGATTAACATTTATGGATAGTGGTAAGTTAAGTTTCTGTTAACAGATAGGTATCAAAGTACATTTTGTTAATTTGGACACCCAGTTTTGGATTGCTGCTATACACAAAGATGGTTTTGATTTTTTTTTTCTTCCCTAGTTACTTTGAGAAAAACAAAATCTTAGTTAAAATTGTTTCAAGTAAATTTATATTTCATGCAATAATACTAAACTGAAACCATGAGAATAAAATCTAGGAAAACATGAATTGTACTTTTTTGTTTAAATAGCTTTCCTCCCCTTTCTTATAAAAGAGTTTTTGATGTAGTTTTTAGATCTGTCTGTCCATTATTTGTCACTGTAAAAAGAAAAAAGAAAAAACTACTATCTCTTTCTGTTATTTAAAATGTATCCTTTCTTATGAGTATTAATAGTATGTGCTGTGATTTAAAATTTTCTTTTTTTAATGGTTTCTATTTTAATGTAAGTGCTTTGTTTTTCATTTAGAGAATGCAAAATTGCATAAAGAAGAGGGTGACATCTTAAGAATAACTGTACATTTCTGTGATAAAATAAAATCTGATATTTTATTAACACATCCAATTGTTTGTATGCATGTTGTTGATGCTACTGATGGCAGTTATATTAAAAAATGTGACAGGTAATAAATTTTACTCATTTTTAACCTTCTTGCCAAAACTTAATGATGATTTTTTTAAGATTTATGTTATTTAATAAAATGTGAAATATACTTTAGTGGTCGTTTTTTGTTGCGGTTTTTTACATAATTAATTTCTTACAATAAAGAAGTATTCTGATTATCATGCAAAGTACTATTTCATCAACATTTCTATCTAGAATAACAACACCTGGAAGTATGTAGTAGAGATTTTATACTCTGTAACAGGGGTGTCCAAAGCACAGCTGCAACTAAAATTTATGTAGGAAATATGATAAACTAAACCTACTCGATGCAAGCCCAACAGAAAATAAGGCAAACTGTTATTGAATTATTATTTACAGATGTTTCTTTCTATTTGAAACCTGTTTCATTTCTTTTATAATGATGTAAATATGCACTTTTGGCTTTTGCAAAATTTAGTTGCAGTTCTCAAACTTACTTGAATTCCAACATGTCTCTTACTGGCATGAAGTTTGTCCACCCCTGCTATATAATGTCAAACTCAGAGTTTCTGCTTTTCTTGGGTCTGTTGATCCCTCCTCTTTTTATTTTAAGAAACAGACCACTGTGAAACATCCTTCCTGTTGACCAGTATTAACTGTTTACAGGAAGGTCTTTGTGAAAAAAGAAGGAATGATATATTTATATTGGGTCATCTGTAAAATTCTACGGTGTTTGATGATAAACATAAATGAAGCAATATAAAAGGTAAGAAAATTTCATTGAATCACATAATGACCATTTTGTTCTGGACTTCTAACCATCTCTTTGACATTTGAAAAATTCATTTTTAAAAAAAGTCATTAGGTTTATTTATAAAGAGGTTAAAGAACTGAATTCCAGGTGGTACTTTTGATACCACCTGGAATTCAGTTCTTTGCAATACTTTTAGTGCAATACTTTTGGTGGATATAGTTCCCCACTTGATATTAATATAGAAAGTTCATTTGGCTTACGACATGATTTTTTTCTTGTAATATTGTATGATATCCACTTCTCATCTTCAGCAATGAGCTGTTTCAAAAAAAAAAAAAAAAAGAGAGAGAGGAGTTTCTTTATTTCCTTTCAGCAAAGAATCACATTGAGAAATCCAAGTAAACATATTGTGCTCAGTTATGTATGAGGTACCCACACATCGAAATGGCTTATATACCTAGTCTTCTTCAAATTATCATATAATGTACTTTTTAGAATATTTAGTCTATCTGATGATTCCTGAATCGTGTAACTTTGATTTTCAAAGATAGCTTCTTTTAATTGGTCCTTATGGACAGAGGATGGTTGTCCAGAGCAGACATCATCTTCAAGGCTCAAATTTTTGCACTTAAACATCTCAAACCACCTTCGAGCAATGCCATCAGAAACAGCACTTTCTCTACCACAGCACAAATGATATGAGCAATCTGACTATTGTTTTTCCTTTTTTGAAATAAAGGAGCATAATATGATGAAACCTATTTGAGTTTTCTATTCTTAGCACTATACTGAAAAAAAAAAATTTTACCATGACGTGAGCCAGAATTATGCAACACAAGTAGGAAAGACTGTATTTACGAATCTGCTCCATCAGCAGACTGTATTTACGAATCTGCTGAATGGTTTGATTTTAAAAAAATTCAAAGCTTTTCAGGTGATATATATATATTATTTTAAGGCATAGGTTAAGGCATAAAGAAGACGTTTACAAAACCAATTTCGGCAAATCACCATCTTTATTTTTATGCATTTTAAATCATCTCTTTGGCAGACAAATTACTTTTCAATCATCGTTGAATACAAATAATTTTTATATACACAGGTAGAAAGATACTATGTCGTTACAGGCAGGAAAGCATAAGCAGCCTGGAGATAATGGCATGGTGGAAGCTCCTCCATAGTTCCTCGAGGAGCAGTATTTTTACTGCATAGGTGCATGTGTATGAATCTAAGGCGTGATTGGTTAATTTTAGTTGTAGTTGCCTTTTTCAAACAGTGTTATGTAATCAAAATCATAAAAAACAACCTTATATTTAGCGTAGATATAATATAAGGTTGTTTTTTACGATTTTGATTGTCACATTAGCGCGTTTCTCTTCTAGTCCAGTGTTATGTAGTTTGGAAAGATCTCGAATTTGGGAGAACAGTTGAGTTTAAGGAGGAGAACACCAAATTTAGAATAGTTAATTTTGAGGTTGCCAGCTTACATATCCCCCTTCAAGGAGAAAAAAGTATAGCGACAGAGAAGCCTTTTTTATAGAAAAAATGTTAAAGCACTACCAAATGAAGAAAAACGTAAATCATAAGATTTTGATCAGCATAATTAATTAAATAACTATAAAGTATAAATTTTGAATATCAGTTTTAAAAAAATTAATTTAATTTTTAGTCCTCTTAAATTTTTCAGTCCAAAAGTCTTTTTGTTTGAGAGTTTACATAATCATAATTATTCTGGGAAGGTTCTTGTTGTCACATAGTATCACAAATAAAACTTTTACCAGGGTTTGTATGGTCCTTAAAGGGCCATACCCACTGGGATTTATCTGAGCTAACGGAGTCATTTCCCTGTGTCGACTAGCTATGCTATGCTTGCAGATCAGATTTTTCAACTTGCTGCTGAGATATTTCAACTCAACAACTTGCTTGTTCAAAATGGTTCAGCTAGTTCGAAATGGTTCAGTTAGTTGTCCCCGTTAGCTCAGATAAACTCCAGTGGGAATGGCCCTTAAGAATCCTTAAAAGTCCTTAGGTTTTTTGGAATCGAATTTTGGACCTTAAAAGTCCTTAATTTTGGCCAAAATCGGCAGAAGGTCCTTAATTTTAATCATCTGAAATTTCTGCCTGTTCTTACGATTGCCATTTTGAGTGTGAATTAGCATTTTGAAGGAATATTTTTGGCGATTCACTGATAAATATGGTTTTCTTTTTAAATGGGTGAATGGGTTGTAATTTGTTCCCATTTTTAGTATAAACGTTTGGATACTCAAGATTCTGGACAAAAAGTGAAACATAAGCATTTCGAATTTATTTCATTTTTTCTAAGGAAGAGCTCTTAACAACTTTTCGCTTTTGGTGATGTGAATTCTTTTTTTCAAACGGTTCAAAGTTTGGCGACATATCAGCATTTTGGCATTTTTAAACTCAGTTTCTATAGAAAATTTTTTTCGAAGATCTGGGAATTTTTTTATTTTTTTTTTTTTTTTTTTTTTTTTTTTTTTTTTTTCCCCCATTTTAACGTATTGAATTTATATTTAAGAAGTAACATTGAAATGAAACATTTTTATTTTTTGTTGCAATATTATAAAGGGATATTACTTTCCATTTTGGTGACTTATGCAATATTTTGAATCTGGAAAATAAACAAGGTAATAAAGCACAATTTATGAAATAATTCTTAGCAAAAGGAAAATAGTTATGTAATTAATTAAAAATGTCTTCTTTTTAATTTTTTTAGGATTAGAGTTTTTCCCATGCAGTTGTCTCAGAATATGCATAATTTTTCTATATGAAATGATTTTACACACTTTTCCTCTTCCCCCTCCCTCAAAATATTTCTGGCATCTCGCTGTTATGCGATTGATAGGGATAATTTTCTTTAGGATTGTAGGCATTGCAACTTGGAAAATTTAGAAGGATTTGAAGGCAAGATTTATAGACCTAAGATTCTAGAATATTCCAGAAAAATGTCTTCATAGTATTAACATGCAATGAGTGTATTTTATTGAATGTTTATTGTGAATTTCTGACTTTTTGGAGAATTTTTGGAAGAACAATGGAAACATAATATTTGAATGTTTTACTTCCAACACTAAAGTCTTTTTTTTAAGATGTTTTTCGTTCCTCTATTTTCACTGCTTTTCACTAGACAAATGCGTGGAAAATATCAAAAATGCTTGTAATCTTATCACATGTACAGACATTTATAGAAAGGAATTTTTCTACTTATAAAGTTTTCACACCGGACTCGCCTTTTCTCTCCATGCTGCATTGGCAAGGCAAACTGAAGTAATGGTTGTTGTATTGATAGTCCACGCTGCTGCGAACATCGATGCACTGTATGTGCAGATACTTGGGCATGCTGCAAACATGCTCATTTTCTGAGTAATGTGGTGTGGTTGTGTGGTTTTGCAGGGCTGATCTCACAATATGTCTGTCCTCTAGGGCATTAGTCATAGGAGGCCACTGAGATCCTGCATGCCATTCAGTATGACCCTCAGCAACCCATTGATTCCATATTCACATAGCAGTGGTTGGATGCTGACCAATGCGATGGGCAATATCAAGGAACGATAATCAACACACTTGATAGGCATTGATCCTGCCTCTATCGCATTCCGACACTCGCTGGTAAGCATTTATTATTATTATTTGAGACACAACACGATATTCTAAGCAAACTCCAACCTTACAAAGCGCTTTCTGAATGAGAAATCCACTGCACTACTTTTCTTTTATGGAGATCTTCAGATGTCATTTCTTCTTCCTGCGTCGTCTAAATGCACTGAAATACTAATAATTTCCATATCCCAACCTGTTTTTCTTTTCATGTGATTTTGATGTTCATCAGATCATTCCTTCCTTGTGTTGCAATTTTAATGGCCAACAGTGTACTTTTTTGTAGCTGTAGTATGTTCAAATTTTGCTTTGCGTACTAGTATATATTGACAGTTAATATTTATGCATTTCTTGACTTATAAAATAATGTTAAATTTAATAAATAAAGAAACATTACTATTGACTTTCCTGGACACTTGCTTGATGCCAATGCTAGCAATTAATATTTCAGACCTTTTTAATCAGGGAAATTTTGATTGTGCCAGAACTGGTTTTTGTTGCGAGTCCTTCCTTTTTTTATGTGAGTCTACGAGTCTGAAGACAGATATATCCCGCTGCCCTGATGGACAATGAGCATCACCTCCTCAGGAGAATAACTCTTCCCTAGTTGGAAACTCTCATTTCTTTCTTAACAATGCAGGAATTAATTAGCGAATAAAATTAGTCAATGTGTATATAGATACATTATAGACAAAATAATAAGAAATTTAGAACCAAATTCACAAAGACATGAAAGAAATGAAATTTAAAACCAGTAAGTTGATGGGTATTTTTTTGCATGTTTATTGGGAAATTTTGGGATTTTACTAGTTTTAAATCTCAATTCTTTCATGTCTGTGGATTTGGTTCGATATTTTTTACTTTTTAGTCTATAACTGATTAATTTTAGAACAGCATTTTGCACAGAAATGATATTGGGATGTTTTTGTTCTAAAAATTTTGTGATACTTTTATATATATATATATATTATGATATTGTATATTGCTAACTCCACACATCTGTTGACTTCTGAGCCCTGGGGTTAAATGGTAAAAATGCTTAATGCTGATAGTTTGCCCTGGGTTCAGACTCCAGCAGATGAGTTCTCCCCAGAAAAGTTCTATAAAGTTGTTCAGTATTAGTTCTCTTGCTTTTCATAAGCTTTCCCATTTGAGAAATTTTAACAAGTTTCTACTGTTATATATTATTTTATCTTATCTCTGAAATTGTTATTTGGTAAGGCATTATTTGATAAAGGATACTTTTTACCATTTTCATAATTCTTTTTTTACCATACATATGTAATGATTTATTTAAATGTCTGAATGCTTTTGTCGTTATGCCTTATGCATTCCAATATATGCATTATGCCTTGCAATATTCATGTGATTAATGAAATTTTCAGAAATCGTTCAGTTACCTTCTTTTATGAAAATCAGAGGGGTGATGTTGACTACATAATGCCTATTATGACTCAACCATGTACAGCATCAGGAGAAAAGTAAGCATATATGTTTATGATTGAATGTATGAAATATTTTGAATTTGTAGTGTACTTTTACAGCAAAATCATGTATGCATTATTGGCATAATTGTTATAAATGGTAAAACAATGTACATTTGTATTTATGAGAAAGCTAGTTTAAGGAGAAAAAAGTAGTACACTTGAACTACAATTTATTTTAAAGATCAACACAAACAAAAGCAAATGTCTGGGTGCACACTAGGAAGTAGCTCTTATCCAAAATTTGAGAACAGATGGTATTAAAGCATAAACAGAACTCAAGTAGTTTTAGGCAGGTCAACATAAAAGTTGATTTTTTTAAATTTAAAATCAGTTGCAAGAACAAATTTTGGCTATACTATTAATAGGGCTTTGTTTTCCAATGATGGAACTGGCAGTGCTGAAAGATGTGAAACAATTTTGCTGCAGCATTGCCTGCATCTTCCTCGTGCTTTACTTTTGTCCACTGGAGAATGCAATGTTTTCTGCAAGATGGCACTATACTGCTTACTGTTTTTTTTTTTTACTGCTTTATTCACCAAAAATCAGATTTGAGTTGAGTCTAGTTCCATATTCATATACTCTTAATTAAGGAATTATGGCAATTTGTTAAAAAACATGAACCAAAGTGTCTGAAAGCCTTTGTCTTGCATTAATCTAAACAATGTATTGGTGACTTGGTTGTTACCAAAAGAGAGCTGACAGAGTTGGAAGTATATAAGAGAACTAAAATACAAGTAAATATATTACCTTCAGTTTACAGCAGGAATAAGAATTGCTTCTGGACATAAACTGCTTTTACTGCCGTCATAAGGATTTTGCTGTAAATTTTTGTTCAGACCTTGTAGCCTGTTTATCAAATAGGTTCGCTTATAAAAGGAAGGAAGTTTGTATTTCTAACAGCTATGCCTGGGAGGTACATGTACTGAATAATACAGAAAAAGTATTCAGTGTTCGTTATGGAAATTTTTTAAGTGTAATAATATTTTGGTTTGTTCTTAGTTCGTTTAGTTATTCATATTTAATGAAAATTATAATCTGCATGATGATTGCAACTAAAGCAATATTTATTATGAAGAAATGAATGAAAATGATAATTCATCAACAAAATGTTGAGAGCTAGATTGCCCATGCATTCTGCAGCAAATCTTTTGTGAAAATTTAAATGATGCAAGTGTATGCTAATGAAAATTAACCACCTGATAACATCTTTTAGCAAAAAGTTAACCACCTTATCAAGATCCTGAATCTCAGATCTTTTTAATCCAAGATGCAGTTACAAATCCAAGACTGCTGTGGCCAATAATAAATGTCCAGAAACCCTAATTAGAAGTGCAACAATTTCCTATTAATTCAGCTTACCCATCAGAAGTTTAATGTAGCTTATTAAGTAGAACAGTCTTTTCTCTGCAAATGTATGTTTAAAAATACCTAAGTTGTAGTCTTATTTTATAGCCGTAATGTATTCAGAATTTTATTTTTACACTAGTTTATATCAGCAGTTATTTTACTTAAAAGGAAGTTTCAGGAATTATTACAGAAAAGTAGTTGGAACTGATGTGAAATGAAAGATAAAATGTGTGATATTAGTTGGTGAAAATTAGATTTTTAAAAATATTGCATGTGTATTTATTTTAGATGCTAAAAATTGTTATAAATTACTTTAATATGAAGTATAATTTTAATTTATTAACACTTTGCATTTTATCCTGTAATAAATAACTATAGAAAAAATGAATTTTCTTTTCAAGAATAATTCAGGAGTTAGTGATTTTGAATTTAGTGGGATGTAATTGTATTTAGTTATTAGAAATTAATAACTTGGAGTGATTTTGCTATGTCCGAATTTAGTAGAATGTGATTATATTTAAATGTTAAAATGAATGACTTGGAAGGATTTTGTTATTGAATTAATGTTCACCTGTATTTCTCGTTACATCATAACTGATTATGGACTCCTACTGAGCAGGTCCTATTGTAACATGTTTCTGTGTTTTTGTTTTGATTATTATTATTACTATTATTACCAGTTGTTCTCAATATAAGATAACTTACTAGTGTGTAAAAACACATGGTACAAACAAAGATTTAAGATAAAAATTTTAAAATATACCAAGAGTAACAAAAATCATTAAAACATGCTAAAAGCATTCAGTGTATCATCTGCCTAACATGCCAGTATTTTTCAAACTGGTTTTTGTTTCTGAAATTAATAGTTGTCTGAAATTTTGTTTTTTCATTCTGTCCTATGTTTATAGCACCATTTCTATTCTCGATACATCATAACTGATTATGGACTTCTACTGAGCACGTTCTATAGTAACATGTTTCTGTGTTTTTGTTTTGAATATTACCGTATTTACGCGAATCTAATGCGCATCGTTTTTGGCCAAATGTAGTATTCAAAATTGGGGTGCGCATTAGATTCGAGTGCAAAGTTCGCCGATGACCGTGAATTAACCCCAACAGGAAAAATTAAGCGTGCTGCACCGCACATTGTTGCACTGAGTTTCTGCTGCCTGGAAAAGCATCGAAGCACCAAAGATTGTGAAATCTTTCAAGAAATGTTGCATGACGATGATGATGAGGAGGAAAGAAGAAATGAATCTGCGGCTGATGAAAAGAGCTGCGAGGATTCCAGTGATGAAAACAGTGAATAAAGTGAACATTTACTATCAATCACTAATTGTAGAAACTGTTAGCTAGATAGAAATGTTACGATTTATTTCATGTTCATATTTTACGATAGATACCGTATATATGGTAGTGGTAATTAACAATGATTGTTTCACATAACAATTGCCCACTAATAGGTTAATTCTATGTTCTACTACTTTATGTATAAATCCATTGTTGTATAAAATATGGTATCTAAATTTAAATAAAATTATCATACCATTAATTGATAGTTTATATACAAATCCATTGTTGTATAAAATAAGATTCAATAAATTCCTCATATCATTGATGCGCATTACATTCGCCGACAAACAATTTTTTTATTATTTAAAGTTTTAAAATGGGGATGCGCATTAGATTCAATGGCGCATTAGATTCGCATAAATACGGTATTATTACCAGTTGTGCTCAATATAACTCTAACTAGTATGTAAAAACACATGGTACAAACACAGGAGGAATAAAAATACACAAAATTAAAATGCCCTTAAGATTTAAGATGAAAATTTTAAAATAGACTGAGGATAACACAAATCATTAAAACTTGCTAAAAGCATTCAATTAAAATCAAAAGTGGCTAAAAAATGTCAACCTGTTCATAAGACCTGTATCATCTGCCTAGCATATCAGTATTTTTCAAACTAGTTTTTGTTTCTGAAATTAATAGTAGTCTGAAATTTTATTCTTTCATTCTGTCCTATGTTTCTAGCACCATTTCTAATGGCTATTGACTATTTTTTTCCCCTTTGCTAACTTGATTGTCTAAATTCTTAAGATAGAAACAGTGATAAAATTACATTACATTGCTTAATTACAGCCCAGATGACAGTGATTGTTCTTATTATTCCAGTTTAAACTGGAAAATTAATTTAACTATGTAGTTTTATGCCATATATATGAAAGATAGCAAACAATATTTTTGCTTGCATATTTGCAAGTCCAAACCTTTTTTCTGTCTTTGGTAAGAAAGACATACTGCAGACATTTCTTTCAATTTTTGCTCATTAATTTTTCTTATTTTTATATATAGAGAGAGTGATGGTTTCTGTTGTGTGGTTTTTCACTCATACTAAAATACAGTTTTTTTATTATATGTTAGTGGATTTTATTTCCCTCGATTGAGTAGTTATTTCATTTAACAGCTACTTTGTCAATGAAATGTGTTAATTCATTTTGTTAATCATACTTTCTTGCATGGAATGAACTTTTTCATTTTAATTTAAATGCACTGAGGCATTTTCTAGGTACATCTTTAAATTTCTTACTTTTTAATATGGAATCTTTGAAAATATGCAATTTTGTAGAGCTGAATAGGAATCTTTTTATAGCATGCTGAAGTGTACCAATAACCTTTAACTATGATAGTTCTAATGTATGGAAGTTCATAATCTCTTCATTTGCTAATACAGTACAAAGTCCGTATTCCGGACGTCCATTATCCGGAATGATCTATAATCCGGACCTCAATGCCACAAACATTTTTTATGCTTTACGCATGTGTGTAATACATTTACGCATGTGCATTTAATGTATAACGGATGGTATAAGCTAGGCTAAAATTATCTTTACTGATTCTAAGACATTTCAGGTAATGTTGCAGATTGCGCTGTTCCTTAATCTTCTAATTGGATCCGGCTTATTATTTCTTGCAAACTGTTACAGCAATCTTTTTATTTTTTGCAGACTGTTAGAGCAATCTTATTATTTTTTGCAGACTGTTAGAGCAATCTTATAAAAATTAAGCTTGAATTTTTGATCATGTCAAAAAGAGTTTCCAATTCTGGAGCTGCCAAAGGATCTACAAAGCGAAAGCATGTTTTGATGTACCGCTTCCGATAGTGAAGAAAGTGACAGAGAGGTTATTGAAAACGAAAAAATTTCGATTCGCAAGTTAGTCGGTATTCTCGACACAGCAATTACAGGACTTGAACAGTGGAACTGAACAAGAAGTTATGTCTGTTTATAGAATTAAAGAGAAAGTGTTAACACAAAAAACGAAGCAACTTAACTTACATTAAAAGAAATGTTTAATAAAAATATAATACTTTATGTTTACTTAATAAAGTAAACAAATAAATATTAAGCTTTTTTTGTAAATTTTGATACCCTTTAGATGATAATTGCTCTTTATTTCATAAATTACGGTTTCATATTTTTAATTGTATAATTTCTGCATGCCATCTTACCAGATTTAAATTGATGATCTATAATCTGGGAAAACACCTAATCCGGAATCGCCGAAGTCCTGACGAGTCCGGATTACGGACTTTGTACTATGTAATAGTATTTACTCAAGTCACTCTTTAGCTTTAAATTTGGTTTATATGCCTACTATCTGAAATGTACTATGAACAAGTCTGATCCGACAATTTATATGTGAGGCATTGATGCTTTATTGTAGCCTGGAATACTACAAGATTAGAATAGTGGTGAATTACTGTAGAACTATGTGTCCTCTTATCTATTTAATTTCCTTTGTTAACTTTACCTACAAAATTTTATTTTTATATTACTTTTGTACATGTGTAATAAATTTCATATCTTGTTATGTAATTTTTTATTTCAATTCTTTCTAGATTGCATCTGCTTATTTGGGAAGAATCTTTCATTTTAAATGAATGCTTTGATTATTTTGTGAAGAAGGACCTAAATGTTGTGTTGTTTTTTGAAGTAAATGCTCATCTATTTCATTTAAAAATTGTTTTATATTATCATACACACTGTAGCTGTATAATTGCAATATCTGACAAAAGAGGTATAATTTATTGTCTTAAAACTTTTTATGAAATTTGACCTGGTTCAATAATTTATTAATCTGCTTTTTCAAAGAATTGCTTTTTCCTAATCAGATAATAATTTTTTAATGCCAGATCAGTATAAAAGGAAGTATGGTTTTATATTTATTTTTATTTCATAATGTGTAATTTTTATGTCATGTATTTTTGTATCATTTATATACATTCTTACATCAGAAAATAAATATTTTAGCATTAGCTTCATAAAATAGTACATTATTTTAAGTAATTTTTTAATCCAGATCATAGATCTAAATCCTGCGTTTCGTACCAAGCAAAGATATGAAAGATTAAATCGAAACAGATTGCAGAAAATTGCCTGGGCATTTTTAAAGGTATTTATTATTTCCTACTGATATCATTAAATGAATTTTATGAAATTCTTAAGTCTCATTTCAGGTATTTCTGGACTGTGTTATACAGGGTAATGATTTTGATCATTTTATTCATTAACTGCTTCAGAGATCTAGAAATGGAAGCAGTGACTACAAAAACAAAACCTCACACTTAAGGAATGTCTGAAAGATTTTTATGCTGTATTTTTATGGAAATCGTTCTAATACAATTTCTTTCTTTTTTACTCTCAAATGACTTTTTATGCTTGTTATTAATTTAACTTAATTAAAGCATCAATTTAGGTTGCAGGCTCAAATGATGTGATTAACACTGGATCTAAGATGCGACTGCAGTTATTTAAACCATGTTCTCACTATAAGAACAGTAAATCATCCAAGATAGAAGTAAGCCTAGATGTTTCTTTAATTTTGCTTACCGTTTTCTTACAAAAGTGCATTAATTCCTTTGATGAATGATAATAATTTGCCTTCAACTATATCATGATAATAGTAGTAAAATTAAGATAAATGTTTTAAAACAATGATTAATCTTTCTTTTGCATAATAAGAAATTATATCAAACTAATGTCAAATCATAGTATGGCAGTCAGTCAAAATGTTGCATTATCTAAAAATAAAGAAATACCACTTCTTGGCATATATTTGTTGGTAGCTTTTCCAGCATAAAGTTTAGAAAATTCTGATTTGTATTAGCAAGTAAAAAAATATAAACAAATAGGAATATAGTAAATGTACAATGCATAAGTAAAAAGACTACTATTGATATTATAAGCATAATTCATTTTTCTATTCAGATTGTCTTTTTAATCTCTATTATGGTCATCATTTAACTTTTCCCTCAAAAATGATATATAGGGAACCTTGGTTCATGAACGGATTACAAATTTTCTAGATGATAAACAATGTCTTGAGATATAAACAAGTAAGCTGGCAACAAATGATACTCCAAAATGCAGATAATGCAATGGACAAAAATGCCTTCAGAAGAAGAAGGAAGTGAAGATGTTCCTAGCTATTTGATCTGTGAAATTAGTGAAAAATGGGATAAAGTGCAAAGGTTCATAGAACATTGTCACCCTGATAAAGCAGTAATAAACCATAGCATAAATATTTGCAGTGGCAATGCCATATCTTGCTATTAGTTATGTTTTAAAAGACAGACATGAAAAAATCACAGTGGGTAGAAAATATCACAGTGGGTGCTTTCGCTTTGCCAAAATGCCAAATTAAACTTTTGTAACAATAAAAAACTGCATAACGTAATTATGATATACCTTTTGAGAAACTATATTCTGCAAAACTTTGCTTTTACAGCTAAAAAGGGCTTTAAGATTTAAGCAAACAACAAAGGAAAGGGTATTAGTGTGAAAAGGGGGATTAAAACATCCAGTTTACATATGAGGTAGAGATTGCATCACCAACTGCAAATAGACAACCAAAATTAGCATAAAATGCAATTCTGCAGTCAACAATGCCTTAAAAAGAGCGATGCCGGACCTATGAGTCAGTTCTCAAGCAGCAATAATTCTGTGTAATGTGAGCTAACCAAAGCGGAAAACATGAGCCGAAGATACCATTTGCATGATGAAATGCCTTGAAGGGCTGTCAGGATATTGCAAGCTGGTGCAAGACAATCTGCTATTGCAAGAGATTTGAATGTGCATAGTAGTGCCATCAGTAGGCTGTGGAATCATTGCCAAAGGGATCAAAATCCCTGTAGAATACATGGGTCTGGATACTGGAGGATTACTGCAACAACAGACAGTCACTTCCTGTTGCTATGTGCAAGATCCCGTACATCACTAACAGCATGACAACTGGCATTGCATCTCTCTGCAGCTGCAGGATGGCCCATATCCCACCAAACTGTACTGCATCTAGATGGACTGTATGCCTGATAATTTGCAGTTTGTGTTCCTTTGTCCCCATCACATCTCAGAGCATGGTTGAATTGGGCCCTGTTGCACACCACTATTAAGGGATAGCAATGGGGCCACTTACTCTTTAGGGATGACTCTCAATTTAACATCCAGAATAATGTCCAAAGTGCTATGATATGGTGTGAGCCAGGGACGCACTATAAGGCACCAAACATCATCAAAAGACAACATTACAGAGAATAAGGCTTACTTGTATGGACTGGAATAGAAATAAACAGCTTTGCAAACCTCTATGTTATTCCTGGTGGTTCCATCACAGCGGTCTGATAGTGCAACAAATTTCTACGCCCTCTTGTGTGTTTTTTATCGCTGTAGTGAGTATGGAGACTATAATGCCTGCCCACATAGAGCTCATGTGATGCAGAATTCTGTAATGAGTGTAACCATTCCACATTCGCTGTGGCCTGCTACATCACCGGACTTGAATCTCATAGAGCATGTGTGGGACATGCTGGGATGATGGATGGCAGGTTGCAGTGTGCCTCCAGTCTCCCTCCGTGAGTTCTGACATGTATTACTACAGGATTGTGTGGTACTGCCACAGCAAGCAATCAACAAAACTATTGCCAGCTTGCCTTGCTGTTGCTTGAGTGTATCATACCCATTTTTAGTGTGATATTTCCATTCTACATTCTTCCTTCCAGTTTGGTCTTTCATAATGTGATAGTCATAATATATGTATTTTTGTGTGTCTTTTCTTTGTTGTTTGCTGTGTGGTTTAGTAATGCCACACCAACCTGATGGATTAATTTCATATATATCCATGAAATAATTTTTGTTTTATTCTGTGTTTTGCCTTTGTTGCTTATATTTTGAGCAGGAGTGGTCTATCTCTTAGCATTGTATAATAATAATGTCTGAGTAATAAGTTTCATTTATCTTTATATACCAATCCCACATTTTATAGTTGTGAACAGTAGTTTATTGTTATCAGAAGGGATTTTATTGAAGAATTCTCTTCTTACTGCTAATATAACTGGACGTTCCCAATTATAATGATTAATAGCTACCTCTTCAAATAAGTTTCGATATTTACATCATACATTGACTTTAGAGAAATGGATTACATATTTTGGAATCTCGTCATGCTCTGATCTAACTTAAAAAGTCCAAAATCCAGACCTCCAAATCACCATCCAAAAGCAAATAAAATAATATAAAAATCCCACTTACTAACAAAATCTGGGAATTGTTAATATAGTACTCAATAAAAAGAAGCAAATATGTTACAAATGCAATTTTGGTCAAAAATGTGATTTCTGTGTATTACTTTCAAATACCTGCTGACTAGGGAGTTGCACCATGGTCAATGAGAATACATTGATTAATGTTGCCCGGGATCACACTTTTGGCCCCTGAGTGTTTGTAAATGGTTGTAATTTTCCACGGACCTAAACAATAAGTAAAGCCCAAATAATGCCATGTGTACATGTCATCTTACTGGATTTAAACTGATGATCTAAAATGCAGAAATTTCCAAAATCCGAAACTGCTGATTTCGCAGCGATTCTGGATCTCTGATTTTATACTATAATAATCATATCATTCAAAAGAGCAGCAGATTTAGTGAATGCATCAAACATATCATTACTGTAAATGCCAAGGTAATCCAGAATAATAGTACTGTAATAATATTAATGTATCCAGGATAATAGTACATCAGCTCTTCCCAGTATTAATGCAAAAATATTTTTAAGATCCACAATGCTATAAATGCTGATATTACATAATTTTATTATTGTACTTTAAATTTTTTTATAGTAACTGTGTTCCATAAATTATAATAAATAAGATAACACTTCAAGAACTGAATCTAATTCATAGAACTTTTCTTAAGATTCAGAATCAAAAGACATGTTAGATGACAGTTAAAGATGTTTCTTTAAAAAAAAGTTAAATTTTGCTTTAAAATGTTCTTGCAAAAAAAGTGTTAATTGTACAAGATGGTAAATAAAATAAAGGTATGCCCAATTTTACATTTAATGGTTATTTTCCAATTTTACATAACTATGCAGAGAAATTTGCATTCTTATGGTTTTAAAAATATTAAATTTGTATTATTATTCTCAAAATCCTAATTACAAAAAAAGTGTTTAAATTGTTTAATTGTTAAAATAATAATAATTATATATTCATTTAAAATATTAATTTTAAATTCTGTTTGAGCACAAGTATTACTTTAAACAAATTTAAACTACGATAATAAAATTGTTTAATATCAGCAGTAAGTTGTAGTAATGAAAATTGTGCAGGTAATATATATATATTTCACATCATAAATTAAAATTTTGTTTATTCATCTTTCTCATTTATACATTATTTATGATTGCAGTTTTATATTTATTTTACACTGGTGTAAATATTACACTAAAAGTATAATTCAAAATGCTTTTATTTTTATATTATTATGTATATTAACTGTTATTGGAAGTTGCTTTTACTAAGATTGATGATTATAATTCAAATAGCACTTTTTGAGTGCTCTAAAATAAGTAACATTCAAATCAGTAGCTTATTTTTTTTTTTTTATGAAAAAAACTTGTTCCGTATTAAATTTATTAAAATGTCTGAAAATATTACAACCATACCTTGATATCAAGATTTACTATGATTCTAATGTTTATGTCACATTTATTACTCTAAATAATTGCCAACAATGACAAATCTTTAAATGTTAAGTCATAAACTTTTCTTTTTCTGCAAGAGAAAATGACTTTACTATCTTTACTTAGCTTACTGACTTGAATGTTTTTCTGTTTTGTGGCATTTTCAAGTATTATTATTCTGCTAATTAAATTTTTATATTTGTGCACAGCTAATCATATATTTTACTTTACATTTCTATGAAAGTTGTAATGCTTCATAACTAAGTATTAGTCTTATGGATGAAGGTTGCTGTCAAGTTTTTAATGTGAAACTTTTATAAAAAAATTTCAGGTATATAACTGGTGGCGTTACCTACCAAGAATGCCACTTCAAGCTTCAATTTATGTTAGTGTTGAACCATATTCTTCTGTTACTGTTGAACCAGCTTTACGCTCAATGCTTCCAATGCAAGAGGTACAGTAATGTATTTTTGCAACATGATTTCTCAGACATACAATATTTATGGTATATAACAATTGGTTTTATAGCTGCTTATCAAGGTACTTTATTCTGAAGTCATAATTTTAGAAAAAACTCAGCTAACATCTGAGTGAAATTCATTTTGAACCTGTAGTTTATTTGCAGATATTTTGAAAAATACGATATTAATATAAACCTGTGTATTATTAAAAGTAGTGAATGCATTTTTCTTAGAAAATATTCCCCTTCCAGCGTTGGTCATACAATTTAAGAAATATGATTATTGAAAGAGTTTACTAGTTACAGTCAAAAGTCTTTAATCTGGACGTCCATAATCCGGAATGATCTATAATCCGGACCTCAAAGCTACAAACTTTCTGCGCATGCATAAAAGTTATGCATGCATGCATGCACATAATACCTTTACGCTTGCGCATTTAATGTATAACGGATGGTATAAGCTAAGCTAAAATTATCTAATTATCTATTTCAATTAATGTTGCAGATTGCATTGTTCCTTATTCTTCTAATTGCATCTGGCTTATTATTTTTTGCAGACTGTTAGAGCAATTTTATAAAAGTAAGCTTGAACTTTCGATTATGTCAAAAAGAATTTCTGATTATGGAGCTTCCAAAGGATCTACAAAGCAAAAGCATGTTTCGATGTCCATCAAACAAAAAGTAGCTGCAAAAAATGGATAAAGGCATATCCTTTGTTTCTCTAACCATTCCGAAATCTGTTTATCAATTTCACGCTGCTCTGCGGGGGGAGCGTTGCGGTGTGCAATGAACTGGAAGTTGATGTGTCAGCACTATCCTTATCTTCAGAGCAGATTTTTTTATTTTATTCAGCTTATAATTCCTTACTAAATGTAGTATTTCATCTCGATGTACTCCGTCTTTGATATGATTTAAATCAAATTCTTCGTCATTATAAATATCACAAATACACATCAAATAGTTTTCTGGTTACAATTTTCTAATTTTGACTATGTGTAATGTATGCTTTACGCATGTGCACGTTGAAAGAAATGTTTGATAAAGTAAACAAATAAATATTAAGCTTTTTTTTTTTTTGTAAATTTTGATACCCTTTAGATCATAATTGCTCTTTATTTCATAAATTACGGTTTTGTATTTTTAATTTTATAATTTCTGCATGCCATCTTACCAGGTTTAAACTGATAATCTATAATCCGGAAAAACCGATAATCCGGAATCGACGAAGTTCCGACGAGTCCGGATTAAAGACTTTTGACTGTATAAGTAACTGGTTTAAAATGTCTTTTAAACTATCTAAATATATTTAACTAGTACAAATTCTTAAAAATGAACCTGGATATGCATGCATCTGTGTGAACATGTGCTTACACATTAATAGAGATCATACATCTCTTATATTATCTTCTACTGAATATCAAAATAGCGAGCCCATATTGGGTGTCCCAATATAAACTGAACCAGGTAGTGGAGACGTCACTTGCTTTGGATTCAATTTATCCAGGGCAACCCGATAATTTCCTGCAGTACAATATTTAATTCTATGCTTTCAAAGAATTCATTTGAAAAAAAAATTTGCTTCAAATTCCATCATGATTAGATGCTTGATATTTATGATCTTCACTTTTATTCTGCATAAAATATAAAAACGTAGGACAAAAAGGGGTTAGAATTCTGAAGCATGAAGGATAAGCAAAATATTTTCGCAAATCTCTTTCATTTTTGTGATTTTCTTCATTACATTATCACGCTTTTTTATATGCTGTATTTCTTCTCTCTAGGGAAGAAAAAGTGGACTATAACATTTTTATAGTTGCTATTATTAGGACTTAATTTTTATGGTTATTACTGCACCATAATTTCACTTCAATACCTTTCAGAATTTGCAGATTTTACATCGAGATGCTGTGAGTTGTACATGAAATTCATAATTTACTTTTTCTGTCTGAACAGTTTAGTTACATTATACCATTAAACATTAACGTCCCTCTTACAAGTTTTCTTTCCCTTTGTATTGCATTTGCATAAAATGCTTTGTAAATGAGGTCTATTTTTGTATGTGCATTCACTTGAAATAGCAGTATGTAGTTCTTCGATATATTTTTAGTACAGCTCAAGCGTTTACAAAAACTCTTAGTTTTGAGAGAGTATGGTATATTGCTAGCTCTGTTTCTTCTGTTAGAAAACACGACAAAACATAAGCATCTCTTACTATGATACATTTAAATGATTTAAGAGTTAAACTAAAAAGAATAAAAAAATAGATTAAATTAGTTTATGCTGTATAAGGCTTTGATTTCAGAATTCAGACTTTTAAATTATAGCATACTGCATTTCAGTTACTAGCTATGTAAACTGCATGTTTAAATTGCTTGCAATCCTTAATTCCTGTTTAAATCCTTCATGTAATCTTTAAATATTTTTTACGTGTTTAAAATTGCTTGCAATCTTTAATTACTGTTTAAATCCTTCATGTAATCTTTAAATATTCTTTACAAGATCAAATAATTTAAAGGAGCAAAAGGGTGTTGTAGCATTCAGCAGAGTATAACTACAAGCAAATCATGTTCTACTAAGGTATTCTAATTTCAGAGACTCTTTTTAAAAAAATATATACATTACAAAGTCCGTAATCCAGACGACCAATATCTGGAATGATCTATAATCAGGACCTCAAGTGCACAGACTTTTTTTTTGTGTGTGTGTGTGCATTACGTGCACGTTTAATGTATAACGAGCGGTCTGAGCTAGGCTAAAATTATCTTCACTGATTCTAAGGCATTTCAGTTAATGTTGCAGATTGCCCTGTTCCTTAATCTTCTAATTGGATCTGGCTTATTATTTCTCGCAGACAGAGCAATGGTATAAAAATTAAGCTTGAACTTTCAATTATGTCAAAAAGAGTTTCCAATTCTGGAGCTGCCAAAGGATCTACAAAGTGAAAGCATGTTTTGATGTCCATCAAACAAAAAGTGGAATTGCTGCAAAAAATGGATAAAGGCATATCCTTCTTAAAATTATGCAAGGAGTATGACATTGGAAAGTCAACTGTATATGACATAAGCAAAAAGAAAATGGAATGTTTTGAATTTTTTGTGGATTCCGACACCCCACTTGCAATGAATAACAGAAAAAAATGGTTCGTTATGCTAAAAGCAAAGTGATTATTGAATGGATCATGACAAAGTGATTATTGAATGGATCATGACAAAGTGATTATTGAATGGATCAGACAGCGTTGCAGCGAAGGTGTGCCATTGATGGGTCCACTGCTAATGGCTCAAGCCAAAATATTTCATGAAGAAATTAGCTTAAACACTGAGTGCACATATTCGACAGGTTGGTTAACTGAATTTAAAAATCGCCATCGTATAAGACAATTAAAAATTTCAGGTGAAAAAGCTTCAGCTGATACTGAAGCTGCTGAACAATTTGCAGATGAATTCATTGAACTCATTACTAGTGCACAATTATCTCCAAAACAAATTTACTATGCTGATGAAACTGGTCTGTTCTGGCAATATGTACCACAAAATACCTTGGCAACCTCTACAGAAAAGGCTCCAACTGGTGTCAAAGATTCCAAAGCAAGACTGCTGTGTTTAGCATCGCAAGATCGTGGGAGGATATGTCTCCATATACGTTAAAAAATGCTTGGCATAATTTATGGCCAGCTACTATATTTTATGGTCAGGATAATGAAGATGATAGCTGCAAATTTAAAGGTTTTCGGACATCGCAAAATAAAGGTGAAATGAAGTAATAAATGAAATAAATAAAGTAATAAATAAGTAATAAATGAAGATGATATAACAGAAGTTTTTCATTGCGACGACAATGCCTCAATCATCAATCAATTAACGGACGGCGATGTTCTAGATGTAGTATGGTTCTAGATCCAGAAAATACAACTTCCGATAGTGAAGAAAGTGACAGAGAGGTTATTGAAAATGAAAAAATTTCGATTGGCAAGTTAGTCGGTATTCTCTACACAGCAATTACAGGACTTGAACAGGGGTACTTTGTAACTGAACAAGAAATTATGTCTGTTTATAGAATTAAAGAGAAAATATTAGTACAAAAAAACGAAGCAACTTAAACAACTTACATTGAAAGAAATGTTAAACAAATAAATATTAAGCTCTTTTTTTTTTTTTTTTTTTTTTTTTTGTAAATTTTGATACCCTTGAGATCATAATTGCTCTTTATTTCATAAATTATGGTTTCATATCTTTAATTGTATAATTTCTGCATGCCATCTTACCAGATTTAAATTGATGATCTATAATAAGGAAAAAACCCCTAATCCGGATCGCCGAAGTCCTGACGAGTCCAGATTACAGACTTTGTACTGTATATAATTTTTTAAAAAAAACTTACTGGCCTTGCCAAGTCTTATCTGTCTGCTCATTACCAAAAATATCACAGTCGCTCAGAATCTACTGAACTGAAGGGCAGTGCTGTTTGTGTTTTCTCTTCGCTCAGAAAGTTTCATTTTACTAGAATGAACTTAGGCATTTTCATTAAAGTTAGAATTGGTAAGTGACAAAATAGCAGCTTGTGAATCGATAAAAAAAACAATATTTTAATGTAGGCTATTTTTTAATTTATCAATTGCATATGTTATAGGTGCTATCTCTCCATCAAAATTGTCACAGTACTTCCTAACAGGACAGTTAATACTAAAAGTACTCCAGCACCAGCATTTTTTATGGCATTTTCTTCTGAACCATCTGTGTAAACATGTGACCATTTGTTTGGAGTGTACTTGTAATGTATGGTAGCTAGAGCAGGATTTTTAACTCTTTTAAAATTAATATAATATGAACCTTTGAAATGTAATTTTCAGAAAATCTGAAATTATATAGAACATTTAATTATAAGATTAAATTATTACTCTATTAAGAAGGATGAAAGTTTTGGGGGTTCAATCTTCCAATGTCATATCAGAAACGGCAAGAGCTTTTTTTGGTTACCTTCTATATAAACAAAAA